AAACCCCGATTCGACGAAGGATCTAAAGGCTCAACAAGTCTGACCCATCTTGATGGGCTGGACATTTTTGTGCTTGGGGGCCCAAAACTCATACTGGGCCAGGCCCGTAACTGAGTAAAGTTGAGAGACCTGAAGGGTTTTCGGGGGCTGGGTAGGCTAGGGATGAGCCGCCGTGTTAGCTGGTCGGCGAGCCACGACGGGGTAGTTGAAGAACAGCAACCCGAGATTTGAATGGAGGAGCAGTCACCGGAGCTCGGATCTAGAGACGTTACCGGCGACTGGTCCGATTGCCCGAATCTGAGGGCTACACCTGGAGAAAGCTCGCCGGAATCCATAGAAACCGGAAGAGAGGATCGTAGATTACCAAGACCAAGGAGGTCCGGAGGTATCTCGCCGGGGTAGCCGACGGAAATTTGACATGTTTCGAGAACAGTAACATCAAGGGTTGCCGTCATCGGAGCAGCAGCATATGAGAAGCCTTGACGGAGTAGAGGGGAGGACATTGAAGACGGTGAAGAGAGCCAGAGAAACGCCGGTGAAGACAGTGACCGGGGCCGGAGAGCTGAGCTAACAAACCCGCCAATCTTCAAACCTGAGCTCATAAAGGTTCTCCCACCAGTCATCGTCGCTTCGCAGGAACCCAGGAGAGGAGAGGGAAGGAGACGGACCAGATCTAACCGAAGGTTAAAACCCACGGCACGGGCCACGACAAGGGAAGCAAAGATTTGAGACATAGAAGTTTGAGCCATCCAGAACCAAATAGTCGAGGATGAACAGGAGGCCAGGCTGGTCCTTTTATCGGCGGCACGTCGGAAAAGGAAATCGGAAAAACGATGAGGGCGGCTGCTAGGATTGTAGGTTGGGAGAAAAACGCCTCTCAAAGGCCTCCTGTTTTATGTATCTTTCAAACTCTTAGGTTATATTCTTATAAACTGATATAACAAAGTTTTGTGGCATTTACATCTTCATCTCACTCCATGGCCGCTTTTAGAGAATATATATGGAATGGGAGAAGAATATATTTCTCCTTGCATTACATAGACCACACATGGACCTCAAAATCAATAATTCGCCATGAGGTCGCACCACGGTATGCGTGGAATACCAGCTTGGTCCATTTCCTTGGCTTGTGCCGCCGTTTAATCCTGATTTGTCTTGACATGGCATACCTCACCTAATTATCATGGTCATTAAGCATTAAAAGAATAATATAATCATTGTGTGTACAAATTAAAATACACATTTCATATAATGAAACAAGAAGTTACATGAAACTAAATGAATATGAACTCCACAAGGAACTGGGTAGAACATTCAGAAACATATGGTATATCATAGAACTTGAGCAATGAATCAAGTAGATGATGTAAACCAAATAACCATCTTAAACCGAAAGATACACTACCTGACAACTTCACCTTCCTTCAAAGTATAGAAGAATCACATTTTGTTCAAAGTCCAAAATCTGAAGATGAAAAACTTCAAAGTAAAACATGTAGAAGAGTTACACGAGATCCTAACTTGGGTGTTAATTATGCCGAAAACTTATTTTTTTATGAAAACTAATTATTTATCGAAATTAATTTAAAATAGTGATATGCGATCCAATGATATAAATGCCAGTAGAAAATTATATGAAAAAGATAAGTGTGGTGTGAGTATAAAACCAACCGCCAAAACTAACCGAACACTACATATATTTGTAGCTGAGCTAAATCGAACCGTAATTTTGTTTGGTTTGTTGGCGTTAAGACTTCCCACTCATAAGGTTTAGTTTCTTTTAGTTTGAAAAGAAAAATAATTTTTAGATGAACATTTAATTTGTTAAAAATACAAATAGTATATGTATAAATTACATAAAAAAATATGATTGGAAATTTTTTTTTTATGAAAACTACATATGAATCGAAATCAATTTAAAATAATGATGGACGATGATGATAAGATAGAAAAATCTTATATTGGTTGATCGAGTTTGAAAAAAAATCTTAATGGTTAATCGAGTTTTAAAAAAATCAAGTTTGGTTTCTAGCAACTTTACATGCTTCAGATGAGGATTTAAGGCATTGTGCCAAGTTCATTAACTTGAGAAGGTCAAAAGGAAAAAGGTCTTTAGTTTGCAGTGGAAGATCTTAATTGGTTAAATTCATTTTTCAATTAGTGCTAGTGGCCATGACGGGTCTTATTTTCAACAAAAAACAATTGTTTTTCAAGTATTAGGTTTCTCGCAGATTCTATGTAAGTTTATGAAAAACAATTGTTTTTCAAGTGTTTCAAATTATACAGCAACTTTACATAATCAATTAATAAACATATGCTTCAGACCTTCAGTTGAGGATTTAGGCATTGTGCGAAGTTCATTAACCAGATTTTGTTTTGTTTAAAATGATTCTACGGTTACAATATCTATTGTGACTTATACAAAATTTATGCAACATAATTCAACAATTAATATTATTTAGCTAATTCGACAATTTAAACTATATACCAATTAGAAAAAATTAAGAATGTAACAACATTCTAAAAACAAATCAAATTTATTAAATAATACTAAATTTCAGTTGTGTTGGTAAAACGAAACGATGAACAACAATGGTCAAAAACATTATTCATCTCTAACAATTATGTATTAAAATTGTTTTAGTTAAATCCGAAACTATATATTTTGTTATCAAATTAATTTGAAATTTGGTGAAAAACGAAACAATTGGAAACTTGAATGCTAAATTTACGTTATGTTGTGTTAACTAAGCGAACTTGGAATCGCTAACAATCAAAGACAAGTCAATGACAAGATTCCACCTCCGAATAGTTTTTCCAATTATATAAATTTAACACTCAAATTTCCAAAAACCAAATTTTTTAGTGGAAAAAACTATTTACGATAAAAGAAAAAATCAATTAAAAAAATAATAATCAAAATTTGAATGCTAAATTTACGAATGTTGTGTTAACTAAGCGAACTTGGAACCGCTAACGATCAAAGACGATAGTCAATGACAAGATTCCACCTCCGAATAGTTTTTCCAATTATATATAAATTTAGCACTCAAATTTCCAAAAACCAAAATAGTTAATTAAATAAAATCCTAAATTTTAAAATAATCGGTGAAAAAATGTCAAGATTCAAAACTTTAAAAACGTTTTACTTTGAAAAAGATAAAAAGAGAAAATTGGTTTGTATACCCCAAATCTTATTGAAAATTTAAATCTATACCAAATTTGTTACACTTTGAAAAATACCATATTTTAAGAGTTAAAATGATAATTATATCCTTATTTAACAAGATTAAGTTAGAAAAGAAAATGATTTAATTTTTCTAGTTTTTATTTAAAAATTGATTTATAATATTTAAAATATAACCATCTATTGATAATCTAATAATCTAATAATCTAATAAAAAAAGTTCTTGATAAAATATCTAAGAAATTGATTTTAATTAATTTTACAATTTACAATTTAATTAATTTATATAATAATATGTCAAGTCGATGAACAAAAAATTAAATCAATGGTTTAAATAAGTCGACAAGGTAAAAAGTCAATCAAAATATAAATCGATGGTTTAAAATAAATCGATAAAACAAAATTTTAAGTCAACGAATTAAAAAAAATAAGCCAGTGGTTTAAATAAGTCGATAACTTAAAATATCAACCAAACGAAATATAAGTCAACAATTTAAAATAAGTCGACGAAACTGAAAATTAAGTCGACAAAAGTGAAAATTAACTCAATGGTTAAATAAGTCGATAAAGTAAAAAATCAATCAAACGATAGTATATGTCAACAATTTAAAATAAGTCGATGAAGTTAAATATTAAGTCGACAAAAAAAACAAAATAAGTCAATGGTTAAACAAGTCGACAAAGTAAAAAATCAATCAAACAAAATATAAGTCAACAGTTTAAAATAAGTCGACGAAGCTGAATATTAAGTCGACGAACATAAAAAAATAAATCAACTGTATAAATAAATCAACAAAATAAAAAATTAACGAACCAAAATATAAGTCGACTGTGTAAAATAAGTCAATC